TCGGGCCCGCGCCTCGCCCCCCCCTCGTCGCGGTCGCCTGCGCCGTCGCCGTCGTCGTCGACACCGCTGTCGTTACGTGAAAGTGAAGAGAAGATGTCGAGCTCGCAGCGTATGCGAAAATCCTCGCCATGCTCGAAGCAGGGCCCGATGCGCGCCACCCTGCCCGTGAGCTCGCTGATGAGACAGGGCCGGCAGAGCAGCAGCCTCCGCAAGAGCAACAGCAACAGTCCCACCGTCTCGCCGACGAACGCGGCCGTCTGGCGGGCGCGCATCTCGCCGGAGACGTCGTCTTCCTCGGGACAGCGGAGCCCCGGATCCCTGTCCTACAAAGGTACGATCATCCCCTCCCCCTCTCCCTCTCGCTCCTCCCCCTCCCCTCCTTCCGTGAACTTGTTCTTTGTACTCGTGGAGTTTTGCTCGAGGAACACGTATTCACATGCGTGACCCCTTGATCATCGGAGTGCCGGAGTCATTATCACGGACGAGTATTTGTCCTAGTGATGATGACTTCGGAACTCCAAGGGATTACCGGTACTGTTACTTGATCTTCGAAAAACATGTAATCCCTGGAGATTCTGGTCCAGTTGAGAAGTATATAAATCCTGGAGTGCTCTGTGCAAACTTAATATTTGTTAAACAAGCATTTTTTTCATAAGCCATTTCTTGCATTACCATTGTCCAAGATATGTAAGTTGGAGAGTTATGTTTACTGGGAGATGTGTCTGATTGAAATATTTCTCAATTCTTAAATTGTTTATACTTTGACAAGATTCTCTTTTTTTCATTATTTGTGATATAGAATAAAAAAACATATAAGAATGATTCGTAAGCTATGTTTATCATCGTCTTTGACTCAGTAGCAAAAGTTTTCTATTTATTTATTATTGTTGAACCAAATTTACAGAATGATGGAAATTTTTTTTTTTTTTTTATAGAATTGAACTATTATTTTCCACATTTGTTTATAAATGTTGTCTGGTAAGTATTTGATTTTTGTTTTTGTTAATATGTATTTAGTATGTTATAACATTATGTTTATAACTTTATTTATTGTGTTTTGTGGTTACTCACAATTATACACACTTCAATTGTTTTGAAGAATAAGAATTTTTATTTTTGAGGAGCCTATAAGTAATTTACTCTTTCCTGTATTGCTACATATGCATCACAACTACAGTAACCGAAGATACATTTTTAGTTCGGTTACACTATTATTTTCATATTTATTTTTCTTATTATTTTATTTAACAAATACACTTTTTAGTTTATTCCAGCAACCGAAATAATATACTTATAGTTCGGTCTGGTGCATGTGTATATATCTTGTACCTTAATCTTACAGTTTACTAATTTCAGACTGGACTTCTTTATGTCATTGCCTTCTTAGTTCTGTTTTTACTTCTATATTTTTTAATAAATATATATATATATATAATATTATTAGATTATTATATTTTGCAGCCAAATCAAAAACATTGAGCGGTCGTTGTAGCGATAGCTTAAGTGGAAGTCAGAGCATTCGACGGACAGCATCTCTAGATACTATCTATTTGAAAGGGCAATGGCCACGTGACTCTTATTACATGCATTCCAGTCTTCTGGTAGATAAATCCACTCAGGTAAATAAATTTTGTTTCTTATTCTAATTCCTAAGAACTATATATAAAAACTTAAGTGATGTTATGTTTGTGTCACATAAAACTTATTTAACATTTATTTCATTTAATTTACAATGTCTTTTACTTTTATCATAGACGGAAGAATGTTCCAATGAACCAAGAAAAATGCATACTCGTCATCCCACGGAACAAACTGTCACTGATGAAAAATTGGAGAAGAATTACTTCAGGCATCGGTATGTGTTTATATTGTTGATTATGTCTTTTTTTTATTTTGTATGTTTATTGAAAAATCTACACGCTGTTCCTTATATATTTTTTTCGCAGATTACAACGTACAAATAAAGAAGGTACTAGCAGTAGAGAGCGAACAGCGGCATTCGGGCTAATAATGCCAGGTGGCCCACCACCCGCACTTCCTGGAGATCATTCAGTACTTTTGCCCAGTATTGCTTCACAAACATCCATGCGTGAGTAATTTTCCAAAAGCTCTTTGCTCTATTTACAAGATCAATTAAACAGTACACATTTAATATATGTTATCTTTGTAGACAATCAATTTAGCTTGAGTACAAAAGCAAGTCCCATGAATATCCCAGTAAAACCAATAAGGCCTCCAATGCGTTCATCTATCGAAGGACTGAATCAGGAAATAGAAGGACTTGTGCTCAAAAATACAGCCAATAACAGTGATGCAGACCATCCAGTAGAAGACAAGGTAATGTACAAAATTACCAGTTATTAGTATAATAAATAGAATTTGATTTTTTTAAAGTAGAATAAGAATTTTAATTTGCCATTTATCAATGTGTTCTTTGAAAAAAGATAGAAATCTTGTTTTGAAGAAATGCACTTAAAATTGTGTTTCATCTTGAAGATTATTTTTGCGATGAGTATTTATATCTATATGTGATGTTTTTTTATCTTGAATACTTATATTATTACTTTTAAATATTGAAAATGAACATTTATATCATTAATTACTACAAAAAATATCTTGTAAGATGATACAAAAGTTTCAAATTTACATTTTTCGCAAAACAGAAATTTTTAATTATTTTTTTTTAGCCTTTGTTTTATATGAGATTTCGATGATAAATATGAAATTTTTTTTTCTTTAGTATGCACGATATCGCGAACAAATCACACCCGAAGGACATCGCGCCCCTCTAGCAGACTTATTGCGGGCTACTCGGAGTGTCAACACACAAACACCGGCTACTGACCTTCCCTCCAGTTCTTATTCTTCAGGTAAATTATGCGATGATGTCTTTGTTGATTGATTTCCAGGTATACATGATGGTTGTACATAATTACAATGATTGTTACAAATATGCAACAGATTTGCAACTAATATAATGAGCTCTTTAAAAAATAGCTGGGTAATGATAAAAAAATCAAATTATTTTAACATTATATTTACTCTATACATAGAGTGAATCTCTTAAGTGGAAAAGTAATAAAACTACGTAAAAAAAGAAGTGAAACATATCGAATCAAATTTCTCTACAAGAAAATTGATTTTTAAGAAAGTATAAAATTATATCGTATTAAAAAATTTTATCGATAATCAAACAATTATAGTTTTTACATACATATATTCTTTCTGGTTAAATGCAACAATATAAATAACACACTAACTAAAGGTGTGTGCCTGTTGAGACAGGCCCTCCATCTAGGAATTCTGAGTCTCCGCTGATTCCTGGTGTTATGGATGCATCCCGTCCGCCTAGCGATCTCTTACAAGGTTGGAGCATTTGCGGAAAAATTTGATTTTTCGTTTTCACAGATCTCATTTAACAAATTTGTTTGCCTTTAATCTCTTTGATATCATTGATATTGTACTTTGAATTTCCATTTTATATGCATATTATCTTTTTCTAAAAGACTGCTATCAAGATATATATTATATATATATATATATATATATGTGTGTGTATATATACAATTTAAATTTTGTAAAATTCTCTTAATCTTATAAAAGAACATTGTACTTTGTTTACAGACAAATTTGTAGTCATGATTTTTATAATCATATTATTTCAATTATCATATTATTATGATCGTTTTCATGCAAGATCTTACCAATTTTTTTTCACCATCAATAACATGCATATCATTATATGATATATACACCCTATTATATAATAATAATAATACCAATAGGTAAAACAAGATTAAAGTTATGTACATATATCTGAATTAGTTGCATGATTTGCTATTTTTATGAATGTTTTATACACTCATTTATTCTTTGACTGCGTTTCACTTGACGCTCGCAACGCTCTGAGAATTATTTATTATTCTTGTTGTTTATCAAATAAATTAAACAAATAGTTCTTAAGTTCTTAAGCGATGTAAATGTCAAGTGGAACATCGTTTATTTAGTAGATATTCCTTTTGTAAATATTACTGTCAACATATTAAAACGTATATACTGTGATGTATATGCGCGCACGCACACGCATACACACACACACACACACACACACACACACATTAAAATTTAAACAAAAACATTACAAGTGCACGATAATTGCAATTTTAATTCAATATATTTCAGAATAGATAATAATGTTTGTTTTATTTTTTTTTTAGCATCATGAGAAAGCAAAAATATTAATGTTTAATATTATATGTATACATGTATTTTTTTCTATAATATGTTTAATATTATTAAGTTTAGCATGTGAAGAGATAATTTGTGTTTGTACATTTGTCTGTTTATTACAAATGAACGTGCAAAGATGACCTTTTTTGCATCTATACCTACTTTATATATATGAGCAAGTAATTATTACTAAGATAGTGAGTGGCATGAATTTTTGTTACATATTTCAATAAAAAAAAAACAACACAACTTCACAAGTCAAGTTTTCTACGGTGACATGATTTCAATGTTCTTCTTTGATTTTTAGGTGGAAGCCGTGGTTCAACACCTGAACAAGATAGAGAAGGACGTCTCGGCACTTCTCCTCACATTAACAGGTTCCTTGCGAGGGAACCGCCCGATGGCTGTGAGAAAGTCAACCTCAAATTTGTGGAAGATGCGAGGTAACAACAAAGATCATTCTTCTACAATATTATTTTTTACGCTTTAAATAACGATTTTTTTCATGTTTTGTATAGGCGGCCGATGATAGATTTGAGCAAACTAGACTATTGCCCAAAGCCGTGCGTTCCAGCATTCCAGTTGAAACCCAGCTTGGGATCAGCGTTCCTGCCATTGCAACAGCCGGCCAGTCCGACAATGGTCGCCAGTGCATCACCCTCCGCGCATACAACACCGACCACACCTCCTCCAAATCCATAGTCCCACTCTTTACCTTGCGGTGTTACACTTATAAGCTCGATTAGTATATATACATATATATATATATATTTTTTTTTAACGATCTTGTGGGTAGAAAGTGATTTACTTCGAGATAAAAGCATATAACGACAAAGAAAAGTTACCGAACAAAAGAAAAAAAACAGCCTGTTCCCAGTGCGCCCCGTGCGAATATCGTGCGGGTTTGTGAATTGTGTAATTAAAAGGAAGTTGCAATTGCATCGATAAAAAAAGAAGTATTGGAAGACATTTGAGCTCCGTTCTAATGATTGAAACAATAATAAATACGAGGAACAATAATTTGTGATAACTAAAAGAAAAAAAAACAAAAAGAAAAGAAACGACAAAAAGTTTAGAAATGAACATTGTGTTCTACAGGGAAAAAAAGACTAATGAAATTGTGTATTCTAAATTTAGTGCTAAAATGTGCTAAACGACTTTAGTTTTGTATAACACGACTAAATATTCAAGATGAGAAAAGTATTAAATTTCATTGTTGGAATAAACAAAATTCTACGGATACAAAGAAGAGAGCCATGTCCACAATATATATATGCATATGCACGCATATGTATATATACATTGCTGATTGTCTCTCATGTTTATTAGATCTTCATTGCTTGAAGTAACTCAATTACATAGTGACAGAGATGAATCACTTGTTAGAATTTTGTATCATTTTGTATTATTACTTTTTTGTATGCTAAAAATATTCTCAAACTATTATTGTACAAGGAGCTAAAAAATAATGTATCCCTCTGTGTGTATGTATGTGTGCGCGCGCGTGTTTCTTTATTTTACAGAAGTGGTTTTATGAGAATGATTGTTTTCAACGAGCAATCGATTGTCGTGAAAATTTATTTGGAGCTACATATAAATACGTTTATGAATCTATTTTTGACAAATAGAATTAAGCAAATTGCACATTTTAAAACATTATTGAAATTGAATTTAATATTTTAGAGTATTTCATACTTATTTGGAATTGATGTTTTATTCTCTTCTCTTCTATTCTATCTTGCGACAATACCATATGATTACAATGTTTTTATTTATCATATAATATTTTATATTATATTGCAATCTGAATATGTACAACCAACACAAGTGACATGTCGATGAATGTATGATAGAACGAGACATAAGAATGAACATGTATCGAGATAGAAACGATGAGTGATAATACTAAACATTGATTCACGACATGTGCTTTCGCTATGATATCAGATGAGTAAAAACGGTTCCCTAATCTGGCGCGGAAGATAAGTGTGCCTGTTTTGTATAGACGTGGATGATTATCCTAAAAACATATAACCTACGTCGTATACAAGTATGCGTGTGTTGTAATATCGAAATCCTGATTAAGCCATTCACACGAATAACTTTAGAATGGAATCGATACAGTTTCAGCACGTAAATATTTGCTCAAACGCAGTTCGACTATCAATTTTTATGTTATATTAAATAATTAGCGATTCAGGTAAAAAAAAAGGAAACTTGTTTCAATTGTCTCGAAGACACTTATCGCATTGTTAATAGAAATTTAAAAAAAATAATAAAGATTGTTACACAAAATACAAATACAAGAGAAAAAGAAGTTAAAAGTTATTCGTGGGATGGGTTAAATTATTATTTAGTATACGCAGACATAGCCACTCAAGAAGTTCAAATTTATTTTTTGCTTTCTAATACGAAACATTTTTGCAAACGGTTTTTATAGTTACTGTCTGTGAAAAATAAGAATCTTGATAGAATGTAAAGTCAAGAGCAGAAGGAACGGTTTTTTAAATACGATAGTAATATACTTTCTAATGTAATGTATATCTAGCTACAACAGTGAAGAAAAAGAATGTTAACACATAAGTACCTGGCACACTGGTCTATGCTCTCTCTTATCCAGCTCACTAGGAAGTTCATGCCTTAGAATGCGTGGTAAGGTGTGCTACATAGACAGGAAGGTTAATCAGAGAGTCAGGATATACACAAAAAAATGCACTGGCTAGTTAAAGTGTATACAATACAAAGATACTGTAGTATTTACTAGTTTAAGAGAATTTCGTTTGTATTTATTTTGCTACAGATCTAACGACACCTCTATCATTAACTTTGTCGTATATGTATATCTGAGTGTGAAGCAGCTTTTAAGGGGAAAAAAAGTATGAAGTACGTATATATTCATACATACTTCAATCTGTGCTTTGCACTTCAAATGGAGAATAATTCCAACGTAACACGACGACAATGTATAATTAATGAATAAAATGAAAGAACAGGTTTTCGTACATTTAATAATGAGCAATAGATGAAAAAAAGTGATTTCAGCGAATGCTAGCCTCGTTATTTTCACCGCACTCTTTCAAAAGGCTCCACTCTTTAACCTTCGTGTACTTGCATAATGTGTTATCATTATTGTTAGCTTTTGTTTGTCAATTCTGTAAGCAGAGTAACGCGTATGAAGACTGCTGGAACTAAGAATATTACCTGTTATTTGGATATACCTAAAAAAAAGAATCTAAAGTTAAATAATTAGGCTCAAATCATACCGATTACCTATGAACGAATATAAATATATTCTCTTGTAATTTATTAAATAATCTACGCGCGCGCGCGTCACTATTGTTCGGTACATTCTCTCTACATATCTAAATCTGAGCAGGCTTCAGAAACGGCAAAACGATTATGTCAATTAAAAATTTATTTAACCCTAGGACAGTATAGATGTATCGTTGCAGTATCTTGCACAAAAACGAAAATGATTGTTGATCGTATATTGTAATTTGTAAGATGCTCAGAATTATACAAACTTTTCACTACATAAAAACATGTATGTTATATAAAATATCTTAAAAAAAAATTTTATATACCTACTGAAATTAAATGCAACTTTTATTCACTGTTTTATAATAAATATATAAAACATTATTTATTGTTTTTTTATTCTTTAAGAGATTACTGTCGACCTACTTTCTAGATTTCAGTACTGCTCACGTGAATATAATGTAGATTATAAAATATTTCGATGTACCGAGTAATGTATTTATGCTATTTGAATGATGCACATATATTTGCTTTGAAAGTAATCAAAGTTTGACATGTTTAATTCAATTGAAAATAACAAAGTTGTATGAATAAGCATTTATTTATTTCATTCTTTAACATAATATTTACGTTATATCGATATAGTTTACGAATATAAAATATTGAATACAAAACGATTGTTAACCAATTGATATTTACAAAATTGCAAATTTTATAATTTACCATACAATAATTTGTATAAATTTACCGACTTGGTCTTATAAATATAAATATACTTGAATTTCTAAAATAACAAACATAATTGTTTGTCTTATAATTAATTGTGATATTCTCAATATTCCAGAAGAGTATCTTACAATGCTATATTATATTATTGCTTTTTCTATCTTGTAGACGGTGTTGAAATTTGTTTAGTTTCTAACTGGTCCTAGGGCTAAATCAAAATTAGTCAGAGAAGAGAAATAGAGTACGTAAATAAGTTAAAAACGCTTCTTGTACTAACCATTTCTGATAAAAAACATAGTGATGCATATTTTCACAAAATTAAAGTTTATTGATGAAACACAACAGCATGTTCATCAATGCGTGCGTGCGTGCGTGCGTGCGTGCGTGCGTGCGTGTATGTATGTGTGTGTGTGTGTGTGTATGTGTGTGTATGTATATACATAGGATGATCCAGACCAGCCGGAGGAATCGACATGTATGTATTGTTTATGAAAAACTGAATTGAAAAGTTCTCTGTCATTTTGCAATGATCGCAACGAGATATTAATTTCTAAAAATTGCCGAATAAGTGGGTAAAATCGATATACAAGACGACATTAACATAATTCGAAGTTCTTTACGAAATATTTCAAAGGTATTTCTTAAACAACTCTTAAAGATATTTTAAAGTTGTCTTATGCGTCGATTTTAGATATTCTGTTTATTAGGTAATTAGAAAAAAATTGCAAAAATTATAAATGTACTAGTAGAGGACTTTTCGATTTAGTTTTTTATAAAC